TTAGGAGCGAACAAAATGGGGCAACTAGCACATGAGATTGCAAAACTAATTATACTTTTGTTTAAGACGTTCAATGATGATCATGATCTTCTCAGATGGAATGGCCAAGTAGGTGAATCTAGTTTAGGTCAGTTGCTTGGGAATTGAACTCTAACGATGAGATTTTCTGACCTTCAAAAACACTAGACTATAACAGGTTATTTTTAACAAACTTAAGAAATTGGACTGTATACCCACATTAATATTATTTATACAATAAGCTTGAGTTGTCCCTCTAGAGCAATTGGTTAAACTCCCCGGCTTTATGAATAATATTCAGCTAGCCTGATAAAGGTATTTATATTTGAGATGTCCCTCTAGAGCAATTGGTAAAACGCCCCGGCTTTATGGATCTAGCCATTTAATGGCAAATTTAATAAGGAGTTTCGTAAAAATGGACTAAGGGAGTTAAGGAATACCTGTTATAGTCAAATACACACGAGCACTCAAGAATCTCATTTTTAGACCGATATTTCTGCACTACCTTTATTAGAGGAGCTTACAAAACTTGAACAAATGGAAGATTTCAGAGACTGAAATAGAAGTGTTCTGAAAGGTCTAGTCCATTGATTTTTTCTAGTTGTGTCATTTTGTTCGCCTCCGATCAAAATGTCAAATCAAGAAAGAGGGGCATGCCATGGTTTTTGCGATGATCGAATCAATGAAACAAACCTTAATAACCCCCTTTAAACAAACTTTCGTCTTGATATTTGTCAAAGATTTGTAGCTATCAAAGCTTAAAAGAGAATTTGATTCTTTGATATCCAATAAACTCTGTTTTATGATTTGCTTCAATTGTGAAACCTAGAAGGAGGCAATATTTTTCAAAACTCTTTTGATATTTTTCAAATTAAAAAAAAGTATTTTCAAACAAGATGAGTTCTCTGGAAGCATGTCTTAGAAATCAACGAATATCTCTCTGAAGCTCAAGATTGAAACTGGGGCAGGAGAAGCCCAATTTTTGGGGCAAAATTTATTGGAGCAAGGAAAATAAATTGTCTTAGGTTGAGGTTTGCAAGAATATACCCTGGTGAAAATGAAGACAAACCGAGAGAATGAAGACTGCTCACGCATTATTCCCTTAACAGATCAACATTTTGTTTTTAAGCATATTGAAGAATCCAAGATTCCAGCATCAGAGTCATCAAGACTGACAACCATGGATAGATTTCTATCCAACCCTAAACTAACATGTTTTGCATATACATAAGAGCATCGTATCCAGCATCGCATATGTGCATAATTTTGCAGATTCATGCTAGAGTCAATTTCAACTTCTCAGCGAAAGATTGAACTCAAAAAAGTGCAATATACAAGTGTGGATTTGAACTTCACAACGAAGAACATCCATTAAAAGCTCAATTTCACAGCGAATGAGCCATACACGATTTCAACTTCATGAAGAGGATATCGTGCCCAATGAAGTGATCTAGTGTCACAACAAACATGTCATCCGCAGATTGACTTCCTTAAGTCAACGATTAAGCTTCTGAAATGATTTTTTAACATGCATGAACACAGCAGATTATTGATCACCTTTGAGATGTTTATCTCAAAACAAGTTTTGTCTCTCTTGAGACAGTTTCTCTTAAACAAATTTTCTGTCTTGAGACATTTTTTCTTAAAAGTTTTTTTGTCTCCCTTGAGACATTTTCTCTTAAACAAATTTTGTCTCTCTTGAGACAGTTTCCCTTGAAACAAAATCTTGAATATGTATTCCTTAAACAAATTTCATCTCTCTCGAGACAGTTTCTTTTGGAACTAAATTTGTCTTTTTGAGACAGTTTCTCTTGAAACAAATTTGTCTCACTTGAGACAGTTTCCCTTGAAACAAAATCTTTGAACTATTTTCCTTTAACAATTTCGTCTCTCTCGAGACAATTTCTTTTAAAACTGAGTTTTGTCTCTCTTGAGACATTTTCTCTTGAAACAAATTTTGTCTCTCTTGAAACAATTTCCCTTAAAAAGTTTTGTCTCTCTTGAGACAGTTCCTCTTGAAGCACCAATCTTTGAAATTGTTTCTCTTGAAACATAAAACTTTTTTTCTTGGAAAAACCTTGAGACAGTTTCTCTTGAAACACAAAAAACCTTGAAATTGTTTCTCTTGAAAAAAGGAACCCTTTGAAAATGTTCTTGAAACCAACCTTCGAGTTCAGTTACGCTCAGCCAAGGCACATCATTTGCAGCATAGATTAAGTAGAGAAAAGCTATCTGTCAACGAAGACCTTCCGAGTTCGATCTCATTCAGCTTGAGTGCCTATCAACCACTTGGTGAGGTCAAAGAATTATTTTCCAGTCGAATTTTCAAATTCAAATTCTGAATTGCGACTTCAATTCAAGATGGACCTGACTTCGCAACTAATGAGCCATTTACAATTCAACCTCAAGACGAGGGAGTCATTTCGTGATTGACAAACCAGTTTCAACATCGGATTTTAGAGGACATTTAATATGGACGACATTTGTGTCTTTTAATCTTGCTCTATTTCGTTACACGATAATGAGCAAAGAGGGGCAGCTGAAGACACCAATTTCATCCTTTAATTATATAATATATTTAAATTATAATTTTATTATATGATATAGTTTATTACATATGTCGTATGCATATTCACATATTTGTTACATTTTGTATAGGTCCAAGACCAACAAATCAAGGACAAGGCCCAAAACCCATATCACACGTGGCCCAACCCAAACCCAAAGCACCTGGGCTCCATAACCAGTTGCAAGTTAGGGTATGTTTGGAAACCCTAATCATTCCAAGCTCACCAGCGCCACAGTAAGCCCCCGAAGACTCCTCCACGCCGAGTCTCGCGCCACACATCTCGCCCCACACAACCGGTCGTTTTCCTCGCCAAACAACCCACGAAGACAACAAAGCAACCAACACACATTAGCATTTTTATTCGGAGTAAAACTCCTAAAATAGGACTTATCTCTACTATAAAATAATGTAAGCAACACCACATGTAAAGGGGGATTTTTACAGTAGAAATACAAGGAATTTCATACTCAAAATATACCGAGAAATTACACGATAAGTACGAGCAATAATCGAATTTTGTCTCATTTTTCAAAAAGAACGAAAGGTAAAAAAAAACACCTTTTCCGATTTGTCGGTTGCATGCATTTGTGGGAGTGCTTATTTGTGCTCATTTTTGTAAAAACTCGAAAGTTTTTTTAGAAAGGGAGCCGATGAACTAAGGGGGAAAGTTCGAGAGTTTCAAACTCCGATTTACTCTCCCCCGAGGTTGTTTTGCGAAAACTTTTGGGATTTTTAGAACAAGGATGGAACGGGATTTCGAATGGTGGTGGAAAGTTGGGATTCTGTCGCCGGCGTACGGTGGCCGGCGCCTGCCCACGACGGCCGGGCGGTGGAGTATGGCCGAGTTCTGGGTTCTCGATGAACACCGGCCACCAGAGTTCTTCAGAAATGAAGAACATTCAGAGGTTTTTGAACCTCTCGTTTTGATCCATTTTGGGTTAAGGGAAATAATAAAATGTGTTTGTGAAAATGGGATTTATAGTACCCATGGAATCGACCCGTAACCCGACCCAAATGGATTCAGACTCGCGTGTTTTGACTTTCATAAAGGGTAAATTGTGCTTTTGACCCTTATTTTGAAAAATTCAATTTTAACCCCCCAAATCCGATTTTTAAACTCGATTGGCTTTCAAATTCGACCTGCTACTTTGGTTTTCTTTCAATTCGGTCCCTTATACGTATATAATATATATATATATTTTTCTTTTTGCAATTAATATTTTCCCTTTATCTATTTATTTTATTTAACAAAGCATATTATTTATGTAATATATTTTTAATATATTTTATTGTTTTATTATTTATTTATATATATGTATATTTTATATTTTTACACGTTCTTATATATATATATTACTTATTTTTATATTTTCCATAATTTTTCAGTTTCTTTTATTTCATTTATTTTTTTATTATTATATTATTATATATACTTCATCATATATATATTATATTTCATATGTTTCATTTTGTTTATCTTTTATTTTCTTTTATATTTTTTCATTTTTTTACACTTTATTTATATGCATTTTATTTGTTCCTTTTATTTACTTTATTTTCTCTTTATTTATTTTCCTTTTTATATTCATTTTCATTTTTTTTTTCTTTACCTTATTTGTTCATTTTCGTTTTTTTTTTCTCTTCTAATATTTTCATCCTTTAAAGGTATTTCAATTAATCAGTGGTAAGTTTTGGATCGTATTTTTACCTTTTAATTTTAAATTACAATTTTCTTAATTTAAGGCAACTGGAAATTGCATAGTACCGAAAGGGCAGTTTAAGGGTGCTAACCCTTTCTTGACTGTAACCGACTCCCGAATCCGACACATCTTTGGAAAGACGCTGATTAGGTAAGAAATAGGGTATCCGATCAACCATTTGTTTTAAAATATATGATCGATGGCGACTCCTAACCATTTAATCCAAGTCGAAGCCCAATTCCGGGGTCCAACCGAAAGACGGTTCCGACAGATAGAAATAATTTTTTTTTGTTAATGGCAGTAACTCAAATGAAATTTTTTCAATTTCAATAACCAAAATGAAAATGACCCAAAGTTTAGTGATTGTTATTAGAGTTTACCTAGAAAAGTCTAAAAGACAGCCACAGCATTAACCCGATATATCAGCTTACCAAATTCAACACCAAAAACACGCGCAATATGCTGCACCGATCACGTCACCTAACCACACCCATCACCATCACCAGTGAAACAAGGATTCAGCATCAATAACGATCGAATTTCTATTTTTTGGTACAAAGACACGAATAAAAGCTGTAGCTTCAGAAATGGGGTTGAATCAGTCAACAAGGATGTTCCAGTGCTCAAATCATGTTTTATCACTGAATTTCGTAACAAATCATACAGAAAACATAAAGTACAGAAGATGTGCAATGCAAGTATTTATTCGAACTTCATCGAGGATCTAGTTCCGAAATAGAAGCCTCATTGACAGAGTCTTGGATAGCTTCTCTTTCAGATTGATTAAAGAGTAGCAATGAATCGTATATCATTGCTGTCTCCGTGTTGGTATTCATAGAAAATGCAGGTCTCGATGGAACCGGAAGAGACATGGAATAGCTACTAAGCATGAGAACCACAGAGGCCATGGTTGGTCTATAAGCAATGTTTTCTTGAACACAAAGCAACCCGAGATGGATGCATCTCATTATTTCGCTTCTCGATCCATCCCTCAGAATCGGATCAACAAATTCCAAAGCAGTCCCTCCATTCCAGTTTCTCCATGCCTGCAAATGTTCGACGTTATGAACTTACATTGTATTTAGCAACATCTATTCCATTATATATACCATAACCAGAGTATGGAGATCTTACATGAGTAAGCAGAGAGTCTCCTACTTGGTTGGTGAAGCTGTTGATTCTATGCCCACTAATGATTTCTAAAACCAACACTCCAAAGGCATAAACATCAGATTTAACTGAATATTGACCATGCCATGCATACTGGTGCCATGTATCCACTGCATATACAAATACATTTCAATGAATAAATGTACAAACTAGATATAAAATCTCATTTTTAATACTTACTAGGTCCCGACGATTTTGCTCGTATCGGCTCGAGTTTGATCAACCACAAACAATTTCGCCATTCCAAAATCTGAGATCTTAGATTCATCTTCATCCAATAATATGTTGGCTGCTTTTAAGTCCCTATGGATGATCCGGTATTGAGAATCTTCATGAAGAAAACCATTCCCTTGGCTGTTCCCTCTATAATTCTGTACCTCTTGTCCCAGTTTAGTAGTAATCGCTTCACTGGATCTGCAAAAGTCGTAAAATTATAGGACTAGAATGCATGTTCAATAGGTGCAGTTTAGAAAGATTGAAACGGTACCGAATATAAAGTTGTCAAGGCTTGAATTGGGCAGAAACTCATAGATTAGAACCCTTTCTTTTTGTTCGAAGCTAAAACCAAGAAGCTTAACCAGATTCCTGTGTTGAAGCTTCGCCAATAGCATGACTTCGTTCTTGAATTCTCGTGTTCCTTGTCCCGAATTTTCGGACAGCCTCTTTATAGCTACCTCTCGTCCATCTTCAAGCTTACCCTGATAGAATTCGGAACAAGGAACAATGAGGGAAAATAACAACTATTATTTCCTAGTATTCGCTGTCACATATTCATTCCGTCTTTTTTCTTTGAGATGATGGAAATTTTCATACAGCAAGTATTAAATTACCTTATAAACAGGACCGAATCCACCTCGTCCAAGCATGTTTGCATCGGAGAAGTTTCGTTGCAGCTCTCACTGCATGAAAGTCGATTTGCAACGATTCAACGTGCATCTTGTTATCTGCAGGTTAAAAGAATAATTTAAGTTTACATAACATTGCAAAGGATTGATTATTAGTGAATTATCTTTTGTTATAAGACTACAACAGTAAAACAAAAATAAAATCAAGGCTAACTTACTTTGATCATTCTGTTTCTTGATCCTCATGGAAAGAACAACAATTCCAAGTATGACAAGCACTACGATGAAGGTGACGCTGGGAACAAACTAATGACTAATGTTCGGGATGAAATGCCTCCCTTCTATACAAGCAAGAACATTGTAAGTAACTTTAGAAAACATTATAATGACTAATGTTCAGCATGCATCTTGCAGAACGGTACTTACCTTTACTGATTTCGGAGTCCACTGACTGTGGGAGGACTAGCAGCTGGGGGTGGAAGACTAGAAGGTGAGGGTGGAGGAGACAAAGACGCCGTTGTAGAAGCATTGGGTCTATAGAAGGGATACATCCCAGCGGAATAAACAGTTAGGCCTCTCAACAACACCTCCTCGCTTCCCATGGCAACAACTTACATAGGAATTTGCAGATTGCCTTAGGCAGGAGACACAATCCTGCTCCGATAAATCTGGAGTGCACTGCATTAGTGAATATATCGTTTGGAATGCTCCAAGCTCCGCTTCACCAGTTGCATACTTGAGACTAGAAGAACCGTTGGAAGCCTTCCTCATCACATTTTTATCAAACTCTCCCAAACCGTATCGAATTCGGTTAAGTTCGATGTGATGTTCCCGTATTATATACTGCGCTAGAGGGTTCTAGCTCCAAGGTTCCGAGAAATGAGTGATCTGCATAGTGCAACAGAGAAATCCCCTGTCCATGAATAGGCCTCTTTCTGGTTGGGACAATTTGCCATGAGCTCGTGGATTCATTGACAAGGCTAAAACATCTCTCTGGAGTAGAGTCTCCTTTGCACATAGCAAGAGCGTAAACTTTGTCGGAGCCCTGGCCAATAGTGGTATTGAAGAATCCACCGTTTCCAGAGGCATTAGATGGGAGTGAAGCGAGAAGAAGGTCCCGGTTATTGCCAACGTGCTGTTTGTGGTAAAATTACCAGTATCATAGCATCTTGGGGCGGCGGCAACAAGGCTGATGCCGATAACCAGATAGGAGAGAATTGAAGAAACAGCTTTAAGTTTAACCCACATTTTGAAACTTCTAGCAAAACTGAATGGAACTTACAGTCTTTAATTCATCGGTCTTTAATTCATCCTTCTTATGGTTAGGAATTCGTGATTTTTTTTCTTGTAAACCATACGTCATTGTAAAATATGAAAAATATGCTTTATGATTTTAAAATTGAAAAAAATTAATCTACATAAATATCAGATTTTTTATTTATTTAAAATTAAACTATGAAACCCAAAAATAAATTCATACAAGTTTAAACTATATTAATAATAAAGTATTTAAATATATGATTTATCAAATTTAATTAATTAAATTTAATACGTTAAGTTACAATTAAGTCACCAAATTGTTTATGACAATTTTTTTGTCTTTAGGTATATTTTGTCTAATTGATTGTTGTTTTAGTTTATTTTTTAAGGGTTGAATTTGATATCGTAATAACTTATCAAGATGATGCTTATTTGTAATTGCTGATCTTTCTTGTTTTTGACCATCATATTGGATTTGGATACGCTATTGTATTCGTGAATGGTTGTTTACGCTCGACTCTGATTTGTTTATGATACATTTTCTTCAATGTTAGTGTTCTATACACCCAAAATTTAATTAAAAGAAAGTTGAAGAACAAATTGCAAATTTTTAAAAGTCTGCAACTCAGTTTTGGAACCTGTTGGAAGTAAGAGACTTAACCCTGAATTATCCCATGAGAAAACCCTGTGTGTTGGAAAACCAAGACCACGAAAACCCAAACCCCAAACCAAAAGGCCCCACCATCGCCCCTCCGGTCAGCCACTTTCGGTTGGCGGTCGAGTGTACCGTCATCGCCATCGGACTCAATAACGACTGGCGATCATCCCCGACCCTTAGATCGCCTGTTTAGGCCGCTGTTAATCGCATGGAGAGAGAGATCGTTCGGCAGCCCACTCGTCGCTCATGCTTTGGTTGGCGGTGCATATCACCGCCACTTCCAATCGAAGCGCCAGGCCACCGCGTCCAAAACCCTCTGTCAATTTGTTGAAAGGAGTCACCGTTTGTCGTGGAGAAGCGAAGAAGTTTCTTCGAAACCCTCGCGCCTGCGCAACGATTTTGCTTCGATTCTAGTCGCCTCGGCCATGTCTGTCTCACTGTCTGCACCATTGGACTCACCGTCATCATCCGCCCAAACCCAACCGGGGGTTATCTGTCGTCACCGGTTTCATCCGTCTGCCGTTAGTGAGCTTTTCGAACCCATTTTAATCTATTTAATCGAGTTATTTGTTGATTGTGGGTTTAATTTTGGTTGGAAATGTGTTGAAAATTTTAAATTTCTATAATTTAAGTATATTTTCTATTTTTGTTGATAATTTATTTCTGTAATATCTAAAATTTAATAATTATTTTCAACCATTAATAATTTATAAATTCACTCGTAAATAGAATGTTACATTCGTCCCTCTCATGACTTTCTTACGCAAACTTTTCAACCGATTTGCCGTACTCAATGTATTGAGCTGATTAATAGAGCTTATTGTTTTAGGACTCCAGCCCTACCTTAATTATGCAAACCATACATTGAAACAAATTTAATGATAGAGTGAATCATGAAGCGGTTTCAATGATGAAAAGAAATGTTATTTTTTTAAATATTTAATTCGAATAATTGCATCTACATGATATACATATATTCCATAATTAAAAAAAATTCTAAATAAATATTATTTTATGATCACTCAAGATAATCAATTTCCATGTTTCTTCTTTAGAGGTTGAAGTGGACAGTTAAAGTTTGCGTAACCGTTATCACTAAAGAGACACGCAAGGAACTTGTCTTTATGATTTGTCAACAAAGTCTGCTTAACGACCAAACACGGTTTTGCTGTTGTCTTAACAATGGAATGCTTTTCCATCGTTCCGCTTTCTTCGAAGTTTGTTTGGTCTGTTCAATATTTGCAGATCATTAATGTTAAGTTTTTTTTTTTTTTACTTGGTCTCTGTTCGTTAAACAAATAATGAAGATGATTATTTTAAAAATGCGGATCTATCACATAATTAAGTGTTCAAAGTCAAAATATGATGGCTATCAAAAACATGTGGGCGGCTAATTAGGCAAATTGGCAGCACACAATTGTTGAATTTGGACAATGGTTAAATCATAATTTATCTTGTAATTTAGGGTATTTATAAATAGTCCTTAAGCTTCAACTATAAATACCCTAGCTCATTAGCTTCAAAACCATCTCAAATCATTATAGTTTTTTCAATAAAGTCAAAATATGATGGCTATCAAAAACATGTGGGCGGCTAATTAGGCAAATTGGCAGCACACAATTGTTGAATTTGGACAATGGTTAAATCATAATTTTATCATTGTAATTTAGGGTATTTATAAATTAGTCCTTAAGCTTCAACTATAAATACCCTAGCTCATTTAGCTTCAAAACCATCTCAAATCATTATAGTTTTCTCTCAATACTAGAGAATTTAGAGAGTTTCTTGAGAGTTGTTTTCTCCTTTTTATCAAGAGAGAATTATCATTGTTTTCTCCTTGGTAGATCGACAGAAGTTGTAATTCATATTTTCTCATAGTGAAATTCTTCTACCATTGCCCGTGGTTTTTACCCTATATTATTTAGGGGTTTTCCACGTAAATTTTGTGTCTCTTTTATCTTCAATTTTTATTTTCTCAAATTATCAGTTGCGTTTTTGCTCTATCCGATAGCCGTCTTCCGTAACATTAAGATGATTATTTATTGATAGATTTTTTATATATTCAAGTTCATTTATTGTTTTCCCCAAAACATGATAGAATTGATAAAATATATAAATTTTAGGAACTGATTTTATTATTATATCATATCTCATAATGATCTCCGTTATTTGTTTAACCGTGGCCACAATAAAAAAATATGTTAGTTGTCAAACCTGTAGAAAAATAGTCCAACTAAAGTAGAAAAGAAATAATAATTTAGTGATTCACGGTGTAATTCACCCGTTTTATATACTATTTGCCATTAATTAACATATATGCTACTGTTTTGTTCAAACGTTGATCTACATTTCAGTACGGTCCATTCAGCCAAAATGAAAAACTCAACAATTTTCAGTAACAATCATATACTTGAAATAATCGATCACCGATGTGACATAGATGAAATCGTAACCTCAATAACAGAACAGATTCTATCACTTGCATTGGGTTGAATTTGTTCTGCAACAATACGTCTAACATAAAATGCAGGCTCTGCTGGTAGAGTCAGCGTTATGGTGTCCTTTCCCAACATGGCAACCACAGTTGCCACGGTTGGTCCGTCTACCGGATCTGCTTGCACGCACAATAGGCCGATTTGAATGCATTTAAGCACCTCAGTCGGCACACTCGACTTGAGAAGATGCTCTTCTATTAGCTCCATTGCTTCACCTTTCGACCATAGTTTCCATGCCTACAACCATCAATTAGAATTAGCTTCTTGTACATAATATCAGATTAATCTATTCATTGAATATCGGATGAGAGAACATACAAAAATCAAGAGGCTTTCACCACGTTCCAATAAATGAAACCCGTAATTCCTTCTACCAGTTATAACTCCAGCAAAACAACTCCGAAACTGAAAACATCAGACCTGACAGAAAACTGCCCTTCCATAGCATACTCGGGTGCCATGTATCCACTGTTTTAGTTCATAAGAGAATGATTAAAAAGAATTCGATAATCATCGAAAACTTTGCAAAAACCAAACTGGTTTTTCAATGTATATTCGATAATCATGGAAAGAATGTATAGACTTACTATGTTCCTACTACTCTATTTGTATTTGCTTCGTTCTGATCTCCACTGAAAATTTT